TGACTGTTTAGTCGCTTCTTGTCTATTTCTTCCGTTGTCGTCTGCCCAAATCTCTCCATGTTGTTGTTGTGCTGTTGTCTCTCAATGTCACCGAAACGCTTAGATAAGGGGACGGCACCCACGCTAAAACAAAAGACGGTCGCTTGCGACAGCGTCTTACTAATTTTGCCTGGCGTAGGGGAAGCAACTCCTATCATTTTACGATACAATGTAGCGAATGGGAATTACGGTGAGCATTGTATCATTTTCAGAATATTCAGGTACCCGGTATCTGTTGTTTTAGTTTTGAAGCGTTGAGCAGTGGGCGGCCATATTGCCCTATAATGGAATCCTACTGACCCTATATAGAAAATTAGAGGGTCACCACGTGACAGCTCTAAACCAATGGATTTTGGACATTTTTGTCCGAGGTGCGATAATATATGATAGGGGATCTTAAAGATGTGTTTCTGACAGGGGTCTGAAGGGGGTTACAATGACAGGAAAAGGAGTCTTGAGGGTATGCATTTGCAATGGGGTATGTCTCAAGGGTCTGTTTGGGGGTGGGGGAATTCAAGGGAGGTATTAAGATGAGGGACCTTATAGTGCTAAGGGTTTTCCCACTCCCAAAAATACACATGTAAATCACTCTGAATCCACCATTACACAAATATAATGGTTCATATCTGATTATGATCATTTAATTGATAATTAGTAACAATGACAACTTTCCTTTGTTACGTTACATTTTGGCATTCAGGTATTTCCATGGCAAACTAATTTTAAACAAACATGATTACAGTATTTGTAAACAAGAACTAGAGTTATTCAAAAATGTTTCAAATGAAGGGTTGCAATACCTTCAGTATACTGTTTATGTATGACTTGACACCTCTTGTGTTACGTACCTTGACCCCTGAGTACTCACCTTGATGGTCTTGGTTGACTGAGCCAAACGTCTCTGGATGGCGTCGAGTTCAGGACTACTTACGTCCTGTTCATGTCAAAAATAAATAAAAAATAAACTAAAAGTGACCTTCATGCAAAGCAGATAGTGAGACAAAGGTCAAATCAAGGTCAAATCAAGGTCAAATCAAACTGCAGATGGCGACAAACTAACAAACAACCATTGACTATAATGTGACAGTGAAATAACAACACATCTCAGTGAAATCATATTCTGGCATAAGATTGGGTAAGAAACTGGTGTTCAAATTTTAAACAATGCACAGAATCTACAATATTTAATATTGTACTGTGTACAGAATGTGATAAAAAAGAACAGGGAATGTTCTAAATAAAACAAAAGGACTATGTATGGTTTGGGCTTTTTTTGGCCCCCAAATCTATCAAAATTAGAAATCTACAATAGAACTTTCAAACGACTATTTCTTGAATTTTGAATACTTCCCCAGTACTATTATGTAAACATTTATTTGTGTTTTCAATTTTGGCTGCCATGGTAACCTGGTCATATTTGCATAAATTATTGAAATTTGATTATTCAGTCAATTTTGACAGGTTTTCACCTAGTTTTTCTCTTAGCTACCCATAGAGCGCACTCTTGAACAAACTTTATATTTCTTTAAATGTTTTACTGGTGCCTACATATTATCCTTTGATATTAAGTTAGTTCAAGCATGCGCTCTATAGTTTCTAGGAGAAAAACTATGCAAAATATCATAATACATGTATTCACTGAATATTCAATTTTTTCTAATTTATGCAATTTTGAACTTGCTACCATGGCAACAATAATAAAAAATATAATTAAATATTTTCATAATAGTATTTGGGAAGTATTCGAAATTAAAGAAACAGTCATTTCAAAGTTCATTTAAAGGTTTTGAATTTTAATGCATTTGGGGGCCAAAACAGGCCCAAACCATACATAGTCCTTTGGTGCCTGACAAGTCTTACTCTTTCCCTCATTATGTTATTTATGATCCAGAATTTATCATGAAACCTCAGCAGTATCACCCAGTAAACGTATAGAGGAACAAAACACAGGGTATTTCTAATGTATATCAGGTAATATAGAAAGTTGAAATTCTCAGTAAATGGGGTCATCACTATCTGGAGGTTGGTTTATACTATGTGTAATAGATTTGTTCAACCCTATCTCTATCTATATCACACAGGAGTGTTAATTTATTTTTCTTGTTTGTCATTTTGATATATCAGTGCTGAAATGTAGCAGCGGAAAAAGCACTTTTCTGAAAGTTGAGGGGGAGCTAACACAGTTCTTTGACACCAAAGTTGAGGGGGAGCTAACACAGTTCCTTGACACCAATCACCTGAGCAACAGTTGCTGAATTTTAAATATCAAAACAGTTAAACACATATATATTTTACTACATCAATATTGAGTCAACGACTCGTCTTACATTTGGTAAAATTTTGGAACCAGTGAGTGAAAAATAACAACAGAAGTCTCTATGCTACAGGCAATTCAGGAAACTTATTCATGATAAAAAAACAGCCAAATAAAAATACAGATTCTAAACTGTTGATAATAAAGAGAAACTTTGAGCTTCCTCCTCTGACCTACCTGTCCCTCCTGCATCCGTTTGACATTCTCCAACAGCTGGGCATTCGTTTGCTCCATCTCGTCCAGGTGGAGCTCCGTCTGCTCTAGCAGCGCCACCTTTGTTTGTAACTCCTGATACTCCGCTATGGGGAGCTTCACTGCCGATTTGGACGTCGAAAGGTTTTGATAATCGAGTACACGAGATTTGAGTTTCTCGTTTTGGTTCTGGAGGATAATCAGACGTCGCTGACAGTCCTCCAACCTCCTGGGAACCTTGTCTTTGAGGGAGCTCGGCACTTCCAGTGGTAACTGAAGGGGAGGGGTATAGAAAATATTCAGTCTTATAAACAGAGTAAGGCAATCATAATGATTATTCATATTCACATTAAAGTTAAAGCATTACAATCACAGAGAATATGTTATATATGTGTTGCATGTGAACATCAGTCTTAGGAGTCTATATCCCAATCTTTACATTTTCTACGATAATACCCTCAAACATGATACCTAAAATCATGGAATGAATTTTTGAAGGAAAGGAAGTGTTCTTTCTATAATTTTCATGTCAAACACACACAAAAAATGAAATCAGAAACCACCATCAATCATTGGACAAATTATTGGTATGGCATCATTGCTTCCCTGATTTTCCTGAGAGTAAGGTACTGGATCTTTAAATTCCTTTATAGTGTAATGTTGGGTCTCTGATAACTTTTATCATGGATCTCAGATTAGACCATGATTAACCTATACCCTGACAGTATCCTAAGGGTTGCTAATTATCACCACAGTATTATAGATCTCTGATTATACTGAGACCATGATTAACCTATACCCTGACAGTATCCTAAAGGTTGCTAATTATCACCACAGTGTTATAGATCTCTGATTATACGGAGACCATGATTAACCTATACCCTGACAGTATCAAGGATTGCTAATTACCACCACAGTATTATGGATCTCAGATTATACTGAGAGCATGATTAACCTATACCCTGACAGTACCTAGGGTTGCTAATTACCACGACAGTATTATAGAACTCTGATTATACTGAGAGCATGATTAACCTATACCCTGACAGTATCCAGGGTTGCTAATTACCACAACAGTATTATAGATATCTGATTATACTGAGAGCATGATTAACCTATACCCTGACAGTATCTAGGTTGCTAATTACCACCACAGTATTATAGATATCTGATTATACTGAGAGCATGATTAACCTATACCCTGACAGTATCTAGGGTTGCTAATTACCACGACAGTATTATAGATCTCTGATTATACTGAGACCATGATTAACCTATACTCTGACAGTATCTAGGATTGCTAATTACCACCACAGTATTATAGATCTCTGATTATACTGAGAGCATGGTTAACCTATACCCTGACAGTATCTAGGATTGCTAATTACCACAACAGTATTATAGAACTCTGATTACACTGAGAGCATTATTAACCTATACCCTGACAGTATCTAGGGTTGCTAATTCCCACCACAGTATTATAGATCTCTGATTATACTGAGAGCATGGTTAACCTATACCCTGACAGTATCTAGGATTGCTAATTACCACGACAGTATTATAGAACTATGATTACACTGAGAGCATGATTAACCTATACCCTGACAGTATCTAGGATTGCTAATTACCACGACAGTATTATAGAACTCTGATTACACTGAGAGCATGATTAACCTATACCCTGACAGTATCTAGGATTGCTTATTACCAGGACAGTATTATAGATCTGTGATTATACTGAGAGCATGATTACCCTATACCCTGACAGTATCTAGGGTTGCTAATTACCACCACAGTATTATAGATCTCTGCACTGAAAGTCCTTTTTGAAAAGCGTCCTCTTGTCATTTATGTGTATCACTATATAAAGAATGCAAACATTAAATCATAATTTGACAAAGTTTTTGAGGATGGATAATAGTAATCGTACCTGTGTGCCCGAGTTCTCCAACTCCTGAATTCTGTACTTCAACTTATTCTCACTACGTTGGAGCTTGCTGAGTTTATCCTTCATAATTATCTCCCCTTCCTCCATTTGTCGAAACTGACCTTGCAAATCAACCTCCTTCAATTGAAGATCCTTCACCTTTTTCTGAAATTCTTTTTCACTTTTCTCCAGACTTGCAACTTCCTGTTTAAGTCGGAGTTCAGTGTCCTTCAGAGTGATTGCCTGTTGTTCTAAAACCTGAACCTGGTTCTGTAACTGAACAATGTGATGAGTGAGCGCACCGTTTTCCTGAACAACGTGATTAAAGTTTTGCGTCAGATCAACATTCACCATTTGTAATTCTGAGTTTTGTTGGTCGGTGGAGGAGCCTTGCGTTTGAAGCTCCATCAGTTTGTTATTAAGACTTATCTCTTTATTTTCTTGGTCCTTCATCCTCTGCATCAAGTTGGCCTCGGCATTCTCTACCTCTTTCAACCTCAAGTGTAAATATTCTGTTTTCTCTGCGAGTCCATTTCGCTCCGATTCCAAACTCTGAACATGTTTTTTCATCTTTGCCTCTGACACACTCAGCTCCGTCATGGAACACTCAAGGTTCTCCGACTTGTTGAGCCAGACTTCCTCGTCTAACTTGTACTTCCTGACCAGCTCCTTCAGCCTCATCTCCATTATCTGGAGCTCGGAGATCCTGTCCTCTAGACGTGAGATCTGGTCCTCCAGCTCCTCCACCTTGTTGTATAAGCTTCGCTCAGAGGCTTCAAATTGGTTCACCTGCTCTTTCAAAATTTTCTCCGAGAGCTGTAACTCTCGCACTTTGACATTTTGGTCGTGGATGAGGTTTTTGTCCTTCCTGGCAATCTCATGAAGCTCTTCTCGGTCTTGTTCCATGTCCAGCACCTACAGAAATGTCAAGGTCATGTTACAAAATTGTCAAAGTTATGTTACAAATATGTAAATGTTATGTAACAGAAATTTAAGGTCACATGATATATGCAAACTGTGCTTTTAAAGTTTTTATTACAGCAAAAATCTATCTAATTAAGGCTATACCAAGGAAAAACAATTATGAGTAGATATTTGACAACCAGTATTTTCATTTGTATGCTATCATTTGAAACTTGATAACTACAAGTATGTGTCAGTGTGATAACTTTACCATGGATAGCAGTGTAGCCAGGCTTACCTGTTGTTACCATGGTTAGCAGTGTAGCCAGGCTTACCTGTTGGTACCATAGATAGCAGTGTAGCTAGGCTTACCTGTTGTTACCATGGATAGCAGTGTAGCCAGCTTACCTGTTTGTTCCATGGATAGCAGTGTAGCCAGGCTTACCTGTTGGTACCATAGATAGCAGTGTAGCTAGGCTTAACTGTTGTTACCATAGATAGCAGTGTAGCTAGGCTTAACTGTTGTTACCATAGATAGCAGTGTAGCCAGGCTTACCTGTTGCTACCATGGTTAGCAGTGTAGCCAGGCTTACCTGTTGTTACCATGGTTAGCAGTGAAGCCAGGCTTACCTGTTGTTACCATGGATGGCAGTGTAGCCAGGCTTACCTGTTGTTACCATGGTTAGCAGTGAAGCCAGGCTTACCTGTTGTTACCATGGATGGCAGTGTAGCCAGGCTTACCTGTTGTTACCATGGTTAGCAGAGTAGCCAGGCTTACCTGTTGCTACCATGGTTAGCAGTGTAGCCAGGCTTACCTGTTGGTACCATAGATAGCAGTGTAGCTAGGCTTACCTGTTGTTACCATGGATAGCAGTGTAGCCAGGCTTACCTGTTGCTTGAGGTGTTTCTCCAGTCTCTCCAGCTCCCCAATCCTCTGTCTCAGGATGTCTTCTGGCTGATCCAACATGGTGGCTGTTGTCAAGGAAACACCAGTAATGACCGCTAGCTTCTCCTTTAAATGTCTCTCACTCTGCTCCAAATCATTAATCCTCCCGAGCAGAACCTCTCTGCTCCCAAGTTCTCGCTCATCTGACGAGGTCACATGATCAGGTTTGGAGAAGAGGCGAGAACTAAGATCCTCCTTATTGGAGCCTCTTTCTGAAACTGCATCCTTGACCTTGCATTCAAGTAGAAGTTTAGCCTGCTGTAGTTGTTGTATTTGTTGTTGGAGTTGTTTCTCTGATGACATGAGAGTGCTGACCTGGTGGCGGAGGCCTACATCAGATCCTGTGCCACTGGCTCTCTGTGAAGATCTACGAAAAACAGAACGTATTAACACATTAAACAGGGAAGATGACAGTCAGGGCACATACCAGTATAGTCTGGTCCAGGTATGTTTTAAGATCAGTCTTTTTGGTAATTTTCATCTAAGCCTTCAACATATCACAAATTATATAAACAAATTCAAATTTCTAAAATGAAATTTAGTATTATCTTATTCAAAAGTGCTTGCAAGTCCTGATACTTCTCATAAATTTTCCTCTAACAATAAAACAAATCTATCCATCCACAAATTACTGCTAACTAATAATATCCAAATTTGTCCTAAATAATTACTTGCACTCAACTTTTCACATCATAAATATGGTCTGCAGATGATTTTGATGTTTGTATATTTCAAATTAATGAACATGAAAATGTTTACGCTCAATGATTCTTCATAAATCGGTGAAATATGAGGTGGTCTCAGGATCCAATGACATTTAGTTGAAACATAACAGTCTATCGGTGTAAGTAATTTATATACACTATGTCCTTATATCCTAATCTCCCTAGACCTATTATGGTTAAGGATTAAACATGTGACTCAGTAATTCTAAATCTGACTCTGTTAATCCCCAAGTCTGACCTACCACTGGTGTTAAACCATACCCAGGCTCTAGTGATCATGACTTAAGTAATCTCTGACTTGGTCCCAAGCAGGTCAAATATAACTACAATTGTAAAACATTTCCTATGACTACCAAGAGTTATGCCCCCTGGTTTGATCTACTTTAATTCACCATATACCTGACCTCGTATCACAAATGATCTTAAAAACATTCTCAATTCTCAAAGTCAAATTTGGGTTATGGGATATATTCTCCTAAATATCAAACCAATTAGTGATATTTTGATGTAATGTGAGGAAATCACTAGCCTACGGGAAACAGTGAATACCAGAAAACCTCAAAATATAACGTTTGACAGGAATTTTAAGATTTAAGAATACCAAGTACATCAAGTTAAGAATATTGCAGACTTGAGAATTTTTCTGACACAGGGGCTTAATTGTCTGCACATTTATGGAAACACTTGAAGGAACTAATGGTATCAAGGTTTTAAGGGGCTGGAAATTCTATAACATCAAAAAAATGGGCTGGAAATTCTATAACATCAAAAAAATCTATCAGTTTCTTAAAGAAGTCAGTTCCAACTACCATAGCACAAAAGATCTCTTAGTGTTTATGAAAATATATTGGGATATTTGTTAGACAGCTGAAAAAAGCTCTTCTTGACAGTATCCACCTCGCTACAATGGTTATATAAATGGCACGAATAACTACCATCACACACACAGCCTTGACAGTATCCACCTCGCTACAATGCTTATATAAATGGCACGAATAACTACCATCACACACACAGCCTTACATGTACACTAGGAATTATCTTTGTTTCATAGCACAAACATACTCAAATCTTACAAGTCTTTGAAAAAAACAAATTTGAAAATTTTGATAATATTTTCATCAAGTTAGTACTTATTATACCTTGATATTATAAGTTTGTGGCAGCTAATCCCCCTAATCCTATTACTGAACGGCTCAGAAACTTTCACCGTCATGATGATCGTGGAACAATGCCAATGGGTAGAGCTAAAACCACAAGGCTTCTAAAAATACGATTCCAGTTCTCATCGATTCCAGTTCTCATGTAGCTATGAATACATACATAATTTAATGCATAATTAATAATAATTCTTAGCATATTTATTTTTGAACTACAATGTTATTCAAAGGGAAAGTAACAGCACATTTACATCATCAACACTGGGACGCAGTGTATTTTTCTAGAGAAATTACTTCTACATCTTATAACTGAAAGCTCACAGACCTTCGAGTAACTATCCATAGGCCAATAACTTAATTCATGTTTAGAAACAGTTAAATATGTTATGATGTGATAAGGTTGTACCAAGTGAATTTGTTTTATGCATGGTCATTGTAAAATATGTTTTATTGTAGATATACCTACAGTTAGATCAGATGGAGATATATTTATATATGCTGAATTGCATATGAGCACTAATAAATCTTAGCATGGTCATAACACTATACAGCATCAGACCCGAAACGATTATCTCCATATACGTTTATTAAGTGTTCTGACATCAACATATATAAACTGACCGATTATAAAGTAGCCTGAAACTATTATCTCCATATACGTTTATTTAGTGTTCTGACATCAACATATATAAACTGACCAATTATAAAAAAGCCTGAAATTTATACACACCAAACAACATGCCCTTCTCCAGTACATCCCTAGAATGTAAACAAACTGCTGGCTTTAATACCTTCCTGACTAGGGCCAACGACCCATCCCTCAGAACCAGGTAATTTGCAGGTAAGCTAACCTCCATTGTGTAATGGCCAGATATTGATAAATTGTTACAACATCCAAAGGTCATATCACTCCACATCACATTCTACAGGTGAGAAAAATGTCCACATGTGTTTCTACACACAGTCGATCAACCTCAGCCATTACTGATGCTGGGTTTGTATGGAGGCAGGCATGTTGACCCCTGACCCCTAACCCGGAACCGTGCATAAATGATGAAGTACAGCCCAAACAAACCTATTTTACCTGTGTCTAATTAACTCTCAGGTGAGCAAATATGAATGGTTTATACGAGGTTACAGGCTAACTTAGTATTGTTAGGTTGTGTATAGACTATATACGGGTTTATACGAGGTTACAGGCTATCTTAGTATTGTTAGGTTGTGTATAGACTATATACGGGTTTATACGAGGTTACAGGCTATCTCAGTATTGTTAGGTTGTGTATAGACTATATACGGGTTTATACGAGGTTACAGGCTATCTTAGTATTGTTAGGTTGTGTATAGACTATATACGGGTTTATACGAGGTTACAGGCTATCTTAGTATTGTTAGGTTGTGTATAGACTATATACGGGTTTATACGAGGTTACAGGCTATCTTAGTATTGTTAGGTTGTGTATAGACTATATACGGGTTTATACGAGGTTACAGGCTATCTTAGTATTGTTAGGTTGTGTATAGACTATATACGGGTTTATACGAGGTTACAGGCTATCTTAGTATTGTTAGGTTGTGTATAGACTATATACGGGTTTATACGAGGTTACAGGCTATCTCTGTATTGTTACTAGTTGTGTATAGACTATATACAGGTTTATACGAGGTTACAGGCTATCTCTGTATTGTTACTAGTTGTGTGTAGACTTATATATACGGGTTTATACGAGGTTACAGGCTATCTCTGTATTGTTACTAGTTGTGTATAGACTATATACAGGTTTATACAAGGTTACAGGCTATCTTAGTACTGTTAGGTTGTGTATAGACTATATACAGGTTTATACGAGGTTACAGGCTATCTGTATTGTTACTAGTTGTGTGTAGACTATATACGGGTTTATACATAGTATTGTTAGGTTGTGTATAGACTATATACAGGTTTATACGAGGTTACAGGCTATCTCTGTATTGTTACTAGTTGTGTATAGACTATATACAGGTTTATACAAGGTTACAGGCTATCTTAGTATTGTTAGGTTGTGTGTAGACTATATACGGGTTAATACGGGGTTACAGGCTATCTCTGTATTGTTACTAGTTGTGTATAGACTATATACAGGTTTATACAAGGTTACAGGCTATCTTAGTATTGTTAGGTTGTGTGTAGACTATATACGGGTTAATACGGGGTTACATGCTATCTCTGTATTGTTACTAGTTGTGTATAGACTATATACAGGTTTATACAAGGTTACAGGCTATCTTAGTACTGTTAGGTTGTGTATAGACTATATACAGGTTTATACAAGGTTACAGGCTATCTTAGTACTGTTAGGTTGTGTATAGACTATATACAGGTTTATACAAGGTTACAGGCTGTCTTAGTATTGTTAGGTTGTATGTAGACTATATACGGGTTAATACGGGGTTACATGCTATCTCTGTATTGTTACTAGTTGTGTATAGACTATATACAGGTTTATACGAGGATACAGGCTATCTCTGTATTGTTACTAGTTGTGTGTAGACTTATATATACAGGTTTATACGAGGTTACAGGCTATCTCTGTATTGTTAGGTTGTGTGTAGACTATATACGGGTTTATACGAGGTTACAGGCTATCTCTGTATTGTTACTAGTTGTGTATAGACTATATACGGGTTTATACAAGGTTATACAGGCTATCTCTGTATTGTTAGGTTGTCTGTAGACTATATACGGGTTTATACATGGTTACAGGCTATCTCTGTATTGTTACTAGTTGTGTGTAGAACATGGCAATGTGAGGGTTCCGTGTTCTATCTTGTACTGTTAGGGTATATACAGTGTAAAGTTGATACAGGGATCAATTTACACAAATTTAAAAGCCAAACTCATTAGAACACATTAAGCTACATTTTAAGTGTAAACTATACCTAAGTTACTACAGCAATCAGGTGAGAATACAGGTACGTACCAGCCATTACGATCACTTTACAATTTACGATGAGAAAGTCTTTATCATTCAGTTCAATATGTTCAGTATTACGAAGAATGACTTAATTATATCAATGTAAGTTCTTCTGCAGGATCCGGAATATCAGATGTTCTCAGAAACGGTCTGAAAATATCAGACTCTGATGACTGTGTACAGAGACTTGAGGAGACGGTCATATTCCCAGTGGCTGTCAGATATTAACATGAAGGACATCAAACGTGTTGATCCTTTGTATGTGTTGAACTTGTCATAGATGTAACATTCCTCTACCACAAGACACAATCACCTAGGATGACTATAGTACAACTAGCCCTGTCCCTCGTAAACGTTCACCTCAACAAACACCCCAGTATACCACAGTTGAACCTTAAACACTACCAGGGTTCCATCAAAGTACCCAGACAGCAAAGCGGCAACACATGGTTAACGTGGAACATCAACAGCCTATCTATAGATCTCAACAACCAGATACAAAATGGAATTACAAACATTCCATTTTACTCTGGTAGAAGAGTCTTATCATTTTAAATGATCTCAGTAAATTGAATAGATTTTGTTATAACCATTAGTTCCTCATGAAGTTCTGCACAATGACATGAGATATGATCGTAGTACAACAATATGAAAGTAGACACATCACTCACCAGTCCGTACAGAGCTGTAGACATACAGACAAGTTATCCTAGCACAGAACACATTCACCAGTCCGTACGAAGCTGTACAGACAAGTTATCCTAGCACAGAACACATTCACTAGTCCGTACAAAGCTGTAGCCATACAGACAAGATATCCTAGCACAGAACACATTCACTAGTACCACATCAACACAAGTTATATCTCCATGTGTCCGATAACTCTGTTAGTACCACAAGACCAAACCATAAATCTCCGAAGATCACATATCTCTCCAATAACTGAGATAATGTAGCGGGTAGATAACGATGTCAGGACACATACCTGTGGCCGTTTACCTGTGCGTTTGTTTACCTGGGTGGGTGGGTCTAGGGAGGACACGACAACAAGCCACGACCTGCCAATGTTTCATTCTTTAAATAACTAACAGTAAATCCTAAACGTACTCCAGTGGGATCATAGATCTGTCTCGGGTCATTACACAATTCAACAGGTATTTAAACATGTGTACAGGTCTTACAACAATACACACTTCATTGACACAGTGTGTGCCATTTTTACAGGGACCCGTTAGTACAAATCTCCATTGTTTACAGACCTATAACTATAAACATGGAGCTGAGAGTGAACTTGTACAGACAACCATGCACTATATAATACAGTTAGTACTGACAGTCAACTTTTAACTAATAAGTACATAATCAGCAATTTCAAATCATTTCTTTGTATCAATTTATGTGATACAATCAGTTTGATTTAAAAGTAACACTTAAACATTGAAATTTTTTAAATTCAATTTCAAATTACTGTTTAATACACCTGATACACAATTGAAATGCATTGCCTTTTATCTCTTGTCATATGGTTCAATTATTTTTTACTAATTTTGAAAAATTAATTTCTTGAATAATTGACAAAGAAAAACATTTTGTATGAAACTATAAACTCTGAAGACAGAATGAGATTGAAACATTTGTCTGGCCATACAGAGACTCAACAGCTTAAGTGAACAATGTTCCAATCATTCTGCTAAATAGGTCAACAAGATTAGAGATGTAACAGGAGAGAGAGTAGTGTGCTTCCACCGGGGATCTAACCCGCGACCTCCAGGTTCCTAGTCAGACACTCTACCACCGAGCTAAAGGGAAATCCCCTCTAGCGTAAAGCTAGAAGGTAATCGTAGTCCTATGTACAATTAAAATCAGCCACAGAGAAATGACCACAATACTGGAGGGTTCAGCTAGAATTGGTCTAATAAAGTACAAAACGAAGGGAGATAATTCTGCACATGTTATACAGAGAGATGAACCAATCAATTACCTAGTGCCCTAAACACTGTATCGGATGTTACCTATAATGAGTCAGGTATAAATGGGTAGACGACATGGACATTGTTTATATCACATATCGTAGTATCCCTATCTATTGTTTGAGGTGGTTGCTGCTGGAGGGTGGGGCCCAGTGTTACGGAGCTAGTAGGATGAATTATTGATGGGTCTTCTCCCCTTAACATCTGTGTATGGCCAGTCCAATTCCTACCAATCAATACTACAGCCCTGTTAATCAATACTACAGCCAAAAGTGAACCCTATATTGACTTTTAATGAAACAGTTTCTACCAAAGTATTAACTGTTCAGATGAATGCGAAAATATCCTGACTAAATTGAAAATAAATTCAAATATCATACTTTTTGTCACAAACATATTCTCTCAAAATTCCATACTTTTTCTCTAATTCACAGATAAGGGGGACAACTCTTTTATGCTTGTAATACCCCTGGGAAACTGTCATTGATACCCTCTCTTAACTGACAGATTAATGTGATTTTCAGTCAAAAACATAACTGAAAAATATGGAGAAGCAGAGATTGCGTTTTACACTAGTTTTAACATGTAATTTGAGTCTCAGTTACACTTATTTACTTATTGATGTAATTAGGTATGTCATTGGTAATCTCTTGGTTTTCGTTTTTTTAACAAACATTATTTGAAGGACAGCTAAACATAACGTATGAAAGGAAAGCAAAACAGATTTTGCTGATGATGAAGCATAAAAACGTTGGTTTCAATTATGTCATTCTTTACCTTCAAAAATATTTATGGGCTTTCCAAATCAAATTTCCATTTTGATCTCATATCAAAAGAGCACCTGGAAATCTTAGTCTGACTTTCAGTATATTTTGACGCATCCTGACCATGAGTCTCTGGTAAATTTGACACTAGCCTGAACTTCAATTTTTGACACTAACCTGAGTTTTCAGTAAGTTTGACACTAACCTGAGTCTTCAGTATGTTTGACACTAACCTGAGTTTTCAGTATGTTTGACACTAACCTGAGTCTTCAGTAAGTTTGACACTAACCTGAGTCTTCAGTATGTTTGACACTAACCTGAGTCTTCAGTAAGTTTGACACTAACCTGAGTTTTCAGTTAGTTTGACACTAACCTGAGTCTTCAGTATGTTTGACACTAACCTGAGTCTTCAGTATGTTTGACACTAATCTGAGTCTTCAGTATGTTTGACACTAATCTGAGTCTTCAGTATATATTTGACACTAGCCTGAGTCTTCAGTAAGTTTGACACTAGCTTGAGTCTTCAGAATGTTTGATACTAACCTGAGTATTCAGTAAGTTTGACACTAACCTGAGTTTTCAGTAAGTTTGACACTAACCTGAGTTTTCAGTTAGTTTGACTCTAACCTGAGTCTTCAGTATGTTTGACCCTAGCCTGAGTCTTCAGAAAGTTTGACACTAGCTTGAGTCTTCAGAATGATTGATACTAACCTGAGTTTGTTGTAGCTTACAAGCCTCTCCAGCATGCACGATTTACACTGAGACAGCCTGGCTAGCGTACTCTGGAATGGACCGGTTTCTTTGGACTGTGAACAACAGAAACAGTTTATCATAAATAGTCAATATTGGTGTACAGTGACTTCAGACAGCAGGCAAATTAGGATTTTCTTCGTGCAAAAGATTTTATTTTAGGCCGATTTCATAAAAAGGAAAGGAATATGTTGTCAATATGCATGTTTAATATTTTTCATCCTCAGTAATGAATTTATCGTAATGTTCAATATAAGTACACTTTTAACATTTTTACTGTCAAGGAAACAAATATGTAGCACTTTTTAAGGATAAACACTACAAGAAAATGGATTTTTATTTTTGATGTGCAAATACCTTAACGAGGTATTATGCCAGTATCGTCACTTTATATTTTTTTGCGAAAAGTGAACTTTTGAATTTTTTTCTCAGAAAACTATACTTTCTCCTTATCATAATAATATGTCATGCAGTAATTTATTTCTGTTACTCAAAATTCAAACTGAAACATTTATATTTATTGTGTATACCTACCATTGGACTAGACGTCGTGGGGAATGTTTGGTCGACGCTGTCTGACGCGGCAGTCTCCAGGTCCTGGATGGTCGCCTTGATAACAGCATGGAATGCATTTATTTGCTCTTGTGATATCTGATATACAAGGTCGTGACCTCCAGCCTCACTTTCAGTCACGAATCCACTGTCGTGAGGCGACAAGTCAGTAACACAGTGAACACTACTCCGTTTAGAACTACCACAATCCACACTATCACACAGTCGCTCTAATTCGTGAATTTTTTCGACATGTTTTGTTTCTACACCACATTTTTCCTGATATTTCATTTCAAGTTCCTGACATTTTTCCATTAACATTAATACTTTTGCTTCGGATTCAACATGCCTTGTTTTGAAGTCCACATTGTCATCCTTAGAACTATAAGTGGTCACATGACTAGAGTTGGAGACATGATTGGCTGAATGTAACACATTTTGATTATTATATTGCATAGCTTTCTGACTAGATTTCAGTTGTTCCTGAGTCTGATTTTGTAATTGCTGAAGTTCGTCGATGCGTTCTAGCAGTATTTCTTTCCCTTTTAACAAATCGTTGGCTTCCTGTTTTAACTGTTTTTCCTGATCAACCATCTGATCCACTTGGTCTGTTAACTGTGAGATTTTAGACTCATAGTCCGTTTGAACATCCTTTAGTTTTTCTTGCGTAGATATTAATTCCTTTTCAAGCTCCCTTGATCGAATTTGCTCTATTTCCACAGTTCTTAACAGTTTCTCCTCCGATATTTTTAGAGAAGACATTTTGTCTGTTTTTGAAGCGAGACATTTTTTACACTCTTTCAGTTCTTGTTGACATTGCGAAAGTAGCTTTTCACTTGAAGACAACTTTAGTTTTTCTTCCCCGAGACATTTTTCAGAGACACTTAGTTTTTTCTTTTCTTCCGCCATTTCTCCTTCACAGACAGCAAGTCTGTCCTTGGTCTGAGCCAGAAGTTTTTGTATGTTGCTCATCTGTCCTGCTATGTTTTCTTTCTCCAGGTACATTTTGTTAATTTTTTCTCTCAAGCTCTCATCAGCATCCTCAATAGAATCCATATCAGACTCAAAATCAGGAATGGAGTCTGCAGACTTTTTAGCCTTGGCAAGCTGGCGTTTCATTAGACTATCCTCTGGTTCCTCCAAAGCATCCACGAATTCATCGCGATCTGGGCTCGCTTCTTCTGTTTTAGAAAGTCTATTTTTAGTCTCATTTTTTATTGGTGCTTCCTCCACAACTTCGGTCTCTGAAGGTTCTACAATAGTTTCTGCAGATTTACTGGCTTTCGCAATTTGGCGTTTCATTCTGTCTTCAATCTCCTCTAGTTCCATCACACGGTCCATTAACCGATCTTCCGCATTCTCCAGAAGTTTAACTTTCTCAGACAGTTGTCTCACTTGTGCATCAGTTGCTGTTAGAGAAACAAGCTTTTCAGACAAACTTTGATTTTCACTTTCCAGTTCCTGTAACCTTTGGAACAGACCTGTGACCTTGCCTCCTTGGGAATTGTCGCCAAGGTCACTGGTGTCCGTCGTCTGATCATTTGTCTCTACATGTTTAGCTTCAATCCGTGTCACTTCATCCTGGGCCATGGGACTTTCCGACAAAGGGAGGTAAATCTCTGTTGTTTCTGTGCTTTTATCAATATTTACAACATCTAATCTAGATCTTAAGCCTTGTTCGATTTCCTCCAGTTCTGTCACTCTGTCCATCAGCTTATACTCAGCCTCCTCCAAAACATCTACCTTCTTCTCTAAATGTTGAATGTTTGCGTTTTTGATTTCAATGTTTCTGATTTTTTCTAAGCACTCCTGTTCAGAAGAATCCAATTCTATGAGACGCTCATTCAAATCGTCATTTTCAGACCTAACTTGATCGAGTTCCGCCCCTATGGTCTCTAACTTCTCAATAAGTTCATCATTTTCCGTACGAACCTGGCCTAGCTCCTTACTGTACCATTCCTGTTTCTGAGTCAACTCACTACATTGACCTTTGACCTGTTTTAATTCTGTTGATATGTCCTTGACCTTTGTACTAAGAGCATCTTTTTCAAGCGTCATCTGAGCAATTTGTCGCTCAAATTGTTCAGTTTTATCTTTGGAATCTCTGACATCTTGACCTAATTTCTCGTTTTCTTGGTTCAATGTTTCCCCTGCTTTTATGAATTCTTGTTCATGTTCACAATAAGAATCCATCTGGTTGTTCAGAGTTTCAATCTCTGCCTCAAGTTCTAATTTTTCTGCCTCGTACCGTTCACACTTCTCCATGAGTTCACTATCCTGTTTTTCTATTTCCTGAATACGACACAACATTTCTTCTTCTTGTTCAATATATTGAGCAATTTCTCGTTCATACTGATCAATTTTCTGCCTTAAGGAGCTTTCTGTCTCTTGCATACGTATTTTTAAATCTTCCTCATGGTCCTCCATCGAATCAAGACGATCCAACAGATTATGCTGTGAACGGCTCAACTCTTTGATTTTATGTACATACAAATCATTTGATTTTGCACCACTCCGACTTTCATACATCTTGAGACGAGATCGAAGATCTCTTTCCTCCTGTTCCATTTCACTCAAAGTTTCACTAAGCTTGATTTCATTTTCTTTCAAATGACAGATTTTTTCCTGCAATGTTTCAATTTTGGCGTTTTTGGATTCCTGCATGGTTTGTAGTTCCTCCTCGAGAGAGGAAATCCTAAACAGTAGTGAAGAGTCTGTTTCATTGGTCGAGGTAATTTCACTAGCCTCACTCTGGTTTAATTCCATCGCTAGTGATGGCCCTTCAGAACTTGTGGGCATTGGAGACCTGTCCTGTTGTTCCCGTAACCTTGATTTTAACTCTCGCGTACTATTTTCCAGAACTTTCACTTTTTCCTCCAAGCTTTGAATTCTGTTAGAGTCATTTTCAGCTACTTTCATCCAATTGATTTTTAAAGTTTCCTCACTTTCCTCCATTTCAGAAAGTTTAATGCTAAGTTCATCGTTTTCCGACTGTGTTTCTTGCAGCCTCTCTTTGAGAGTTTCGACCAAGAGAAGGTCCGACTCGAGCTCCTCCTTAAGGTCAAGGCGTTGCTGTAGGCTCTGGTTACGCTGTTCCAGCTCCGTGATTTTCTGTGAAGATATGACCTCCGCCTTCTCCAGGAACTGGACCTGTAACAACCATCAGATGGTGTTAGGATTATCATGTCATGTAAATAACCATAAGGATAAGCAATTAATGTAAATAAAATTAAGTACTTGGTAATTTTGTATTGATCTAATTTTTCTGCATGTATCTTATATGTTTTTTTGCTAGTGACATTTTTGTTTGGTGTAAACAATGATAACCTCTGAGATATTGTACTTTGAAAATTCTTTAAAAAAAATCCAAAATTTATTCATTTCAAATGATAAGAAAGAATGATTTTCAGGTAAATGTTTAACAGTTGAAGGGACCATTCAATGCTGTAGAAATATAAAGGATTTTAAAATTTTACATATCCTTGTAAAGAATTTAGAAAATTAAGTCAATAAAACAATGAAATAGTTAAGTCTACATGAAACCCATATTGTGCTTGATATCTTAATAGTTCATCTGCTGTTATCAGAGGAAACTTGTCTAGAATTAAACATGGTTTAAATAAGCTTACCATCCAATTGTGTTCTATCTGAGAGGTGACAAAGCTAAGATAAGCTATGTCAGGTATCTCAAACAAGTGTTTAGATTGGTGACAAATCTATTAATATACAACATGACTCCCTTCTAAAATTAATAAATAATAATAATATACAACATTTATATAGCGCCCCATATAATTTGTAAAATTAATCTAAGGCGCTTTACAACACATGAATAAAAGTATTTTTATAATGACAGTTATAAATACAGTAGACAATAAAACATCCACATCAGCATTATGCATTAGGTTAGGTAACAAGACATTTATCACCATATCCATATAGAGGGGATCGCTCCGAAAATTTGACAACCTAAACTTGTCCACACTGTTGGAATTACTTCTATGCCCCATATACATATTTAGGTTGGCATGTACATGACACACCAACCTATATATATTTTATCATGTACATGACACACCAACCTATATAGATTTTATCATGTACATGACACACCAACCTATATAGATTTTATCATGTACATGACACACCAACCTATATAGATTTTATATCATTTATTACAGTAATGGATTGATAGGTACAATCTGTATCACTTTAATATTCTTAACTATTACAATTAAAACCTTAAACTTACTTAAGTCACGCTACCAGAATTGGTACAATTTTGACAGTTTTTCAGTGATATTTAAAAAATTCAGATCTTGTATCTGGAAAGTTTCTTAATTCTTGACAAAGACTACCTATGGTGGTTCATTTTCAGAAAAAGTTTTAATTTTAAGCAATATTTGTTTTTGAAAATAACGCTAAACTTGCAGTGAGATTTTGTCCTTTTTTCGGCCGTAATTGGTACCCAAATTGGTACACCATATCACAAGCTATGAAACTTGTTTTTATTTCTTCTAGTTGATGTGCAGATTGCAACAAAATATATTGCTTTTATAAATACCATACTAAACTACAATTGTATATTTACACTTTTATATTATCCGGTTATAAGGACCAGAATTCAACATTTAAACTTTTTTATATTTAAACCCTTCAAAATTCTCAAAAGTTTCGTCAACATATGCCGTTTTTACTGGTTTTGGGATATGTTTACTTTGAAGTCATCATGTACTCTTAAAATGTTTCTGAAAACAAAACTATTCGGTGGAAATGCTGATAAATATCTCTTTTGTTATACTGTAAAAGGAAAATACTAAAATTTAACTTTAAAGTACTATTCAAACTATTTCTGACCGTGTACCAATTTCGGTAGTGTACCAATTGTGGTAGCGTGACTTTAAGTGCTCGGTATCAGAAAGAAAAACAGTGATAAAACTTTGTTATTTTGTAATTAAATAAGGCTACTTTATACTACTTATAGAGACTGATAATAAGGAAGTCCTGTTCAAATTCTTTCATGTTCACTGAATCAAAGTTGGAGTGTAAACTACATGTTTTCGCAGCCATAAAGAGAATATTCATGTTCTTGTCGAATCCTTGATATAGATTTCATTGAACAGACAGAACAGCATGAATACTGATATTTTTCATGCGTGCAAATCATGAGTGAAAAATATGAGTAATATTCATTTTATGAGTGGAAATATAGGCATTATTCACCGAGAGATCAGATCTACAGGATAAACAAGTCATGGTAAAGAAATCATCGTAAATGATGAATCAGAAGATATTATATTTGTCCGTTTTATTTTGAAAATATACTGAAAGTGATATAATACATCAGCTGGAAGAGAAAATATCAGAAGATAAACAAGACTTTAAAATCTCCTATGTCCTGGTGTGACAAGGCAATTACTGTCAAGACCATGCAATGAGGATGATCAATTATAACCCCACACAGACACAGCTAATGCGATGCACAAATTGTTATAAAAACTGCATAATGTAGACATTCTTTATTTTTTCATACAAACGCAACTCAAAATGTAAAACAAAATCTCTGTTTTGTAAGAGGAAGACATCATTAACAGGTAAATACAGGAGGACAGTCCGAGACTTAGGAAATAGCCAGTAGTAAGATATTATAGTTGCAGAAATGTTTTTGTCAAGGCAGCTGATAGGTCTAGCCAAAAATGGTGAATTCTGTTTACGTTATTAGAATATGTTGATAAAGAGGTAATATTTAGAGTGTTCTACTCACCACCACCATTACAAGTGCACTGAAATGTGTCGCCATTTGAAATCATCATAAGACTTTAGTCACCATTTAAAATCCAGAATAGCAAAGTTTTAAAGCTCAGTTAAGCCGACTTATTCCAGCCTCTATCCAACCATGTGCGAGTTGTGCCTATTCTATTCAAGTTTGACCCAAAAGAAAGCCATTCCCGAACTAACAGCACTCTACTAATTAGGGACAAGCTAAATTCAGTTGTTCTACTTTTATAATCAACTTTCCTGAACACATAAGGAATTATAATACAATGATATTTGTAAAATTGTTCAAATGTGAGTTTCTAATTTGACTTTAGAAAGTTATTCTTTACCAGTTTGGAGAGCAATATCACAAGTCATTACATACAGTCCAAGAGAAATGGGGAAACTTCCACAAAACTCCAAAAATTGATTAGAACATTTTATCACGGTTCTAACTCGTAACTCGATCACTAGACATGATCCTTTAACATCATCGCTTTGTCATCATGCAGGTAATGTTAATGAAATAAATATACATGTTTTCATGCAATTTAGTTATTACCTGTAAGTTATCATTTCTAATCATTAAGAACTAATTAAGACATTTTTCTGCAGCCTTGTCAATGCAGGTTTACAGTATTCACATAACAGGGAAGTCTCCAATCAGTTGTCAATCCATGCATCTGATCATATTGACATTCCAACAATCCTCAATCCACTTAGTGTTGGGAGACCCGACGGATGTGTCAGGGTGTGTACCATGGTATATTGGTAACATGCTGCATGTAAACCCGAAGATAGGATTAAAGAAATGAGGCTTTGGTTTAATAAGGCTATATTCATATCCATGCTTCCTTGTTGTCTCTCATGCTTTGCATGACCCAGATACAGTGAGTGTTATGCACAGTAAATTATTTCTTTACCTACCTCCAATCCCTTCTATGTTGACCTACAAACAACCTTCACTCACCCCTAAGTCCTCATAATGAACTCAAAATGACCTTCCCTTATATCCTTCCCAATACACTGACCTCCAAATGACCTTCCCCTATTATTTCTAATACACTGACCTCAAAATGACCTTCCCCTACTATTTCCAATACACTGACCTCCAAATGACCTTCCCCTACTATCTCCAATACACTGACCTCCAAATGGCCTTCCTCTACTATTTCCAATACAATGACCTCCAAATGACCTTCCCCTACTGTCTCTAATACACTGACCTACAAATGACCTTCCCCTACTATCTCGGATACACTGACTTAGAAATGACCTTCCCCTACTATCTCGAATACACTGACCTAGAAATGACCTTCCCCTACTATCTCGAAATACACTGACCTAGAAATGACCTTCCCCTACTATCTCGAAATACACTGTCCTAGAAATGACCTTCCCCTACTATCTCGAAATACACTGTCCTAGAAATGACCTTCCCCTACTCTCTCTAATACACTGACCTCCAAATAACCTTCCCCTACTTTTATCCAACATATTGACCTCCAAATGACCTTCCCCTACTATCTCTAATACACTGACCTCCAAATAACCTTCCCCTACTTTTATCCAACATATTGACCTCCAAATGACCTTCCCCTACTATCTCTAATACACTGACCTCCAAATAACCTTCCCCTACTTTTATCCAACATATTGACCTCCAAATGACCTTCCCCTACTATCTCTAATACACTGACCTCCAAATAACCTTCCCCTACTTTTATCCAACATATTGACCTCCAAATAACCTTCCCCTACTATCTCTAATACACTGACCTCCAAATAACCTTCCCCTACTTTTATCCAACATATTGACCTCCAAATGACCTTCCCCTACTATCTTCAACATTTTTATGTAGAAATGACCTTCACTCATCTAGTAACTCTGGAGCATCCCTAGACGACAGGGAGTCCCAGTGAAACAGGAGAGAGCAGTATTAGGGTTTTAAGAGCTGGAAGGTACATTATGGATTCAACGGGAACATTTGCAATACACAGATTTATAAACGTTAGTAGTTTAGTATTGATACTAATATGATACAATGTACTTGTAATTACACTCCAATCAAAAGATGCCATATCAGAAGAACTTGATGACATAGTACTGAAAACTTTCCATGCTTCGGTTAGAGATCTCATGTTTTCAATAACTCTCCAATAGCATGCTGAAACTGCAGATTCAGTATAAGGCCTTTGTTTGATATTTGATGCCATGCGTCTGATGTAGATAGTTGTCACTCCATGCCACAAGCAGACATTTTACCTTTTCAGCGAGACTGGTTTCCATGGAGTCTTTGTCCAGTATAATCTCCTTGAGCTCCTTGACCTTGAGATGGGCAGCAGAGAGTGACCTCCTGACCTCGTACTCACACCTGTTAGCCTCCTCCAGTTGGTCCCGAGTCGACCCCTCACTGACCTCCAATTCGTTGACATTCCTCTCCATCAGCTTTAGTTTGTCTTTCAATTGTCGCTCTGTGGTCTCGTAGCAGTAGATACGCTCTTGTAGAGCCTCAAATATCACCAGCAGTTCCGCCACCCTGGTCTCCATGGTTTCGGTGGTGTTGTGGTCCTGGTCCTCCTGTAAGAGGCTGCTGTCCAGACTACTGCTGTCCTGAAGGAGGCTGCGAAGTGTGACGTTCTGGTCCTGGAGTTTGGCTAGGTCCTGCTCCAGCTGGATGATATGGCTGTTGAAGTTGGTCAGTTCTACGGGAGGTTGATGTTGCTGATGGTCAGGTGACGGTGACCGCCGGCCAGGACTTGGTGATTTACTCTCCTGTTTGATCGGTATAGTCATCATCTCAACGTCTCGTTTTTCCACCGAATCTGTCTGTATACACTTCTGTTCAAACATCTGGTTGTCTGCCTGACTGTCCACACCACCAACACCTTGCTTCTCCTCCTCATCTGTCTGAGTGATGCTACTTGTACATGTTCTGTTTGTGTTTCTACAGGGAGTTTCCTCCCCTGTTACCGTCGTGGTTTTCTGGTCAATAACAGTTTGTTGGCTGCTACATTTTGTGACCTGTTGGTTACTGAATGGTTGGTTGTTATGGTTACTGTCTGTTTGGTTGTCAAGATCACAAACTGATCCATTTGTTTGGTTACCATGGTTACCATTTGTTAGTTCCCCGCATCCCATGTTTTGTGTGACTGAATCCTGCAAAAGTTAGTTGAAATTTTGACAAAACCATAAAATCATATAAAACCACCCACATCAAGTAAAAGCTGCTAGCTGATTGGTTGTTGAGAGGGTTGCTGCTGTCAATCACAGGGATCCGTCACCAGGGTTACAGAACATACCACCACCTTAACATGCATCATGGAGGATTGTAAATTAGATCTCAGCAAATTGTTGTCTTCCGTTTCATAAATCTGTCAATATGTTGATTATTTCCAGGTTTTTACACACACTTCATATAAAGACACACTGGCCCTGGCTACAATAAACACTACAGCTTCTGTTGTTTATTTACTTTTAACAGGACAACGGGTATATTGTGATAAAGTAAAAACAAAATCATCAGCTAAAAATGTGATTTAATATTGGAGTTTTCAATGTAAAATGAGGAATTACATTTGCATACATGTACCTTTGATAAAATGTTTGTGAAATATTTTGAATATATGATTAAATTCCTCACATATTCCCTTTCAAAAATATTCAAATATGTAACAAGATAAAAGTAATTTTGTCATTTATGTGAAACTCTTCACTAACCAATCAAAACATAGTCTCTCATATATATCAGGGACACACTACACCAGTAACAATAGAACAGTATTCTAACAGGTAACAATATAACAGTATTGTAACAGGTAACAATAGAACAGTATTCTAACAGGTAACAATATAACAGTATTGTAACAGGTAACAATAGAACAGTATTCTAACAGGTAACAATAGAACAGTATTGTAACAGGTAACAATAGAACAGTATTCTAACAGGTAACAATAGAACAGTATTGTAACAGGTAACAATAGAACAGTATTCTAACAGGTAACAATAGAACAGTATTGTAACAGGTAACAATAGAACAGTATTCTAACAGGTAACAATAGAACAGTATTGTAACAGGTAACAATAGAACAGTATTCTAACAGGTAACAATAGAACAGTATTGTAACAGGTAACAATAGAACAGTATTCTAACAGGTAACAATAGAACAGTATTGTAACAGGTAACAATAGAACAGTATTCTAACAGGTAACAATAGAACAGTATTGTAACAGGTAACAATAGAACAGTATTCTAACAGGTAACAATAGAACAGTATTGTAACAGGTAACAATAGAACAGTATTCTAACAGGTAACAATAGAACAGTATTGTAACAGGTAACAATATAACAGTATTGTAACAGGTAACAATATAACAGTATTGTAACAGGTAACAATATAACAGTATTGTAACAGGTAACAATATAACAGTATTGTAACAGGTAACAATATAACAGTATTCTAACAGGTAACAATATAACAGTATTCTAACAGGTAACAATATAACAGTATTGTAACAGGTAACAATATAACAGTATTGTAACAGGTAACAATATAACAGTATTGTAACAGGTAACAATATAACAGTATTCTAACAGGTAACAATATAACAGTATTCTAACAGGTAACAATATAACAGTATTGTAACAGGTAACAATATAACAGTATTGTAACAGGTAACAATATAACAGTATTGTAACAGGTAACAATATAACAGTATTCTAACAGGTAACAATATAACAGTATTCTAACAGGTAACAATATAACAGTATTGTAACAGGTAACAATATAACAGTATTGTAACAGGTAACAATATAACAGTATTGTAACAGGTAACAATATAACAGTATTCTAACAGGTAACAATATAACAGTATTCTAACAGGTAACAATATAACAGTATTGTAACAGGTAACAATATAACAGTATTGTAACAGGTAACAATATAACAGTATTGTAACAGGTAACAATATAACAGTATTCTAACAGGTAACAATATAACAGTATTCTAACAGGTAACAATATAACAGTATTGTAACAGGTAACAATATAACAGTATTGTAACAGGTAACAATATAACAGTATTGTAACAGGTAACAATATAACAGTATTCTAACAGGTAACAATATAACAGTATTCTAACAGGTAACAATATAACAGTATTCTAACAGGTAACAATATAACAGTATTCTAACAGGTAACAATATAACAGTATTCTAACAGGTAACAATATAACAGTATTCTAACAGGTAACAATATAACAGTATTCTAACAGGTAACAATATAACAGTATTCTAACAGGTAACAATATAACAGTATTCTAACAGGTAACAATATAACAGTATTCTAACAGGTAACAATATAACAGTATTCTAACAGGTAACAATATAACAGTATTCTAACAGGTAACAATATAACAGTATTCTAACAGGTAACAATATAACAGTATTCTAACAGGTAACAATATAACAGTATTCTAACAGGTAACAATATAACAGTATTCTAACAGGTAACAATATAACAGTATTCTAACAGGTAACAATATAACAGTATTCTAACAGGTAACAATATAACAGTATTCTAACAGGTAACAATATAACAGTATTCTAACAGGTAACAATATAACAGTATTCTAACAGGTAACAATATAACAGTATTCTAACAGGTAACAATATAACAGTATTCTAACAGGTAACAATATAACAGTATTCTAACAGGTAACAATATAACAGTATTCTAACAGGTAACAATATAACAGTATTCTAACAGGTAACAATATAACAGTATTCTAACAGGTAACAATATAACAGTATTCTAACAGGTAACAATATAACAGTATTCTAACAGGTAACAATATAACAGTATTCTAACAGGTAACAATATAACAGTATTCTAACAGGTAACAATATAACAGTATTCTAACAGGTAACAATATAACAGTATTCTAACAGGTAACAATATAACAGTATTGTAATAGGTAACAATATAACAGTATTGTAACAGGTAACAATAGAACAGTATTGTAACAGGTAACAATAGAACAGTATTCTAACGGGTAACAATTGAACAGTATTCTAACAGGTAACAATAAAGGTTTTTCAGCTTTAGATATTAAAACAGACAATGCAAGTTACTTGGAAGTTTTCAATTCTCCTTGTTTAATGGTTTTGATATACCACACCTGATCATGAGGTGAGGATCTTTTCTGCTGATGGTACACACACAGATACTCAGATAACAGATACACAAGGAAATGAGGCTGCCATTTGTGTTTGGCTGCAATATTGAAAATGGGAAGATTGAACTTTTGAAATAACTGAGAGCTTCTTCACTCGCATTGTCAACTTTATATAAACATGTATAAAATATAGGGACCCTGTGACCTTGGGCTAAATGTTGATGACCTTGATGATTCCATAACCTTGGGGAACACTACAGCTGTTATGGTCTACCACAATAATTTGTATTTTTATGAGGTGAATCATATAGCTCATTCAAATGTACGCAAAGATATATTCTATAGTTCTTTTAAACAGTTGTTTAGCCTACAAGTGTTAACATTCAACATGTGGTTTTCAATACAAAGCTAAGAATGTAAATATCGATTTTAAATATACACTAAATGGAATATTTTAAAATGCATAGTACCGAGGTTTGATACCTCTGATCTATATTTAAAACATTCTCTTACTTTGCCCATCTTTAATATCTTGAGAAATACTTATTTTATGACTGAATTCAATGAAATTTTCTAAATATTTTATGTGTAATAGATTTTAGTCTTCTTGTTAAGCATGGTGTATTAATAAAAGTCTATAAAACAGAATATTTGAAAAAGTTTGAAAAGTGACAAAAACCTTAAAGTTAAATTATGATCAGTGCGGACAGATCTACATGCGTAAAACATCATGTTGCCATGGTTTCCATAAATGAGTTACCTTGACATTGAGCACTTCCTGAGCCTCCCGTTCCTCGAGGCTCAGCTTGTTCGGGCCATCATAGATCTTGTCTTCCAGACGAGACTTCTCCTGTTGTAGGGAGCTGATCTTCTTCTGGAGTTCGCTGGCTGTCTGCTCTAAAGTCTTGATATGCTATAAATGGTATTAATATCAAAGCTATACTTATTTCAATATAATTCAATATAATATATTTTGATATATTGTATATCTCTATGCTCTCATTTCATCAAAACTTCCATGGACTCATTAAAACTGCATAAAACTTTCAACTGAATTAATACATGTATATAAATGTAAATTTTCGAAAAAAAATACTTTCAGTAAGAGAAAACCAAAATATGTAAGAATATTACATACAGGAGACGATTAACAAATAAATCATTTCAGATAGTACTATCTTTGAAAAGAGTTGCAGAAGATTATCGCCAAGGAAGCCTCCTGGCAACATCAGGTGTATCCATTGGGATAAGTTTTGATGCTAATCTATATCACTTACTACTTCCTGTTCCTGTAGCCTTTGACCCATGACTTCTGGACTCTCGGCCCCATCCCTGCTGTAGGGAGGGGCCAGTGCCCCATCCCTTTGGTCCATCATCTCGGCAGGGTCCTCAGGGATAGTCTCCAGTACATGGTACACCTCATCCCTATGGTCCCCAGTCTGTAAGTACACAACGTAACACCCATTAGTCCCACACAGGACAACTATACAGTAGGCCAAACAGTCAGACAGCAACAAAATCCAGCTAGATTAGAGCCTTGTCATTGGTTACCTCCTTTTTTATAACAAGTTCAAGTTCAAGTTCTTTATTTGCTGTTTTACAACTATAATTATGGCAATTACAGATAAGACAAAGACACTCACAAGGACACACTCACACTGACTCGCACACATCATCCTCATCATCAAGAACACTCACACCTACTCGCACACATCATCCTCATCATCTTCATTAACCACATCTTCATCATCATCATCCTCGATTTTAAAAACATATGCAGATTATACTTGAGCTTGCTTTTTAGACCCACTTTATGATTATGACCAGACTCCATTTCAGGAAAAATGTCAGTATCTAAATTACCTCCCTTTGTAAGGCCTGTCCGAGGGCCAATGCTCCTTTAACCTTGGTAAAATGTAAGTCAGTAACTTACTTCTAGTAAGTATACTATTATTCTATGTGAGGTATAAAGCCTTCTCCTGTGATGGTGTTAGATTCCAAGCTCTGAATATTCATATTGGTTATATATATACTCATTAAAAAAGACAACCTCCTGCAGTCTATCCTGTAGACTATAATCCCATTATCTCTTAATAAGGCTGTTATCTCTCCAATTACTGAAACCAAGCATCTATTGGGTTCGTAGAGATTACGTCCAGTACAGTTAGAGATTGTCCTGATAGGGGTCCTTGTACAATTTTGTATTGATTTATACAAAACCAATATTAGCTGCTTAACTTTTTGGACTTAATGTAAAGTGAATCGAACACGATTCAACATTAATGGTATGTTAATGGCATGGTGCAAATTGAAAACTTTGTACATACATTTTCTGTACATGTATTGTAAATGTGTTTTTTTTCATTTCCCCTAGATTTTAATATTTAATATGAAATCCCTAATCCATTTATATCCACAGCTGTTGTTACCTGCAGCGAGATAATAAAGTGCCCATCTATATCTGTAATCAACACAAGTTGTTACCTTCTGGGGATTAACAAAATGCCGGTCTGTACTTAAAACTCAGAACAATCAGCCCTGAGATTTACAGTATAGCTGAGATCAATTGGTACAGGACGGTTTAGTGTTCATCAGTGGGAGATAAAACAGACCCAGGAGGGACCTTATATACACCTACCTACCACAAACAGCCACTAACGCCTTGTGAAAGGCTTATTACGTTGTAAACAGGACTGACCGACACCAATCTCACTTCTGTAGCCTTTTGATATACGATATGATTTATAAACACATCCCAGTTTTTTACATATAGAACACCAATTACAGTTCTGTTGTTATTAGTAGCTGTGAACATTCACCTTTATTTGACCTCCGGAGACTTATCTCCCATAATTAACAATGTGTACCATGGATATGATCAAAGCAATAGGCCTTTAAATGATCTAGTGTGACAGACAGAGAGAGACTGCTACAGGCACAGCCAGACCAGACTGGGATTCAAACCTGGGACCTCCAAAGCAATAGGCCTTTAAATGATCTAGTGTGACAGACAGAGATAGACTGCTACAGGCACAGCCAGACCAGACTGGGATTCAAACCTGGGACCTCCAAAGCAATAGGCCTTTAAATGATCTAGTGTAACAGATGAGAGAGACTGCTACAGGCACAGCCAGACCAGACTGGGATTCAAACCTGGGACCTCAAAACCCCAGACAGACTAGTAAACAATTCAGCCACCTGGCCATCGGCAGTACCGACTATTTAAACTGATTAAAAAACTATCTCCTGAAGATACATGGACTTGACCAAATTATAATTCAGTATATAAGACAAAGGAGAAGAGAAACGCGATCCCAAGGTGTCAAAGAGACATTATATTTACATATTTGTGTAATCACCATACACAAGCAGCACTATTTACATTATAAACCAATAAAATAGGTAAGACTGCCAAGTATGACAGGTACCACACATAGCATGAAATTTCGATAGTCCAAAATTAGTTTTTAGATCCTTAGATTATTTAGAAACATAATTTGTGAACAATTTCGATTAATCTTCCCTTGTTGTCAACTTGGGTTGATTAATCAAAGATTGTATTATTTTTTGTATTATTTTAAGTACAGTAACCCTAACGCAATCATAGGCTTCAAAATACTTTAACAATTATCCAATACAATAATGAACTGTATATATGGACTCATAAAAACTGTTAGAGTCACTTCAGTACACCAAGACAGCTAGGGTCTGATTCTCCCAATCAGAATGACAAGGTATACATATCGGGTCACCTTGATACCCCTATCAGATTGACAAAGTATCGGGTCACCTGGCCAACCAAGTGGGTTTTCTCTGGGTACTACAGTTTCCTCCCACACTAAGACTTTTTGCTTGTTTCCATCTGAGCGAGTAAGAGTGATTTATATAGGTTTAAACGACTTATTTCATGTTTTTTTGTTATATGTGTCTGAATGTTTACCAATAACATACAAAGACAAGCGCAAATTAAGCATGAAAGAAAGATGCCTTTCATCAAGGATATCAAAGTGTTAGAATATCTACCGTAATAAACACTCAGGAAGGTACGAACGCTACATAAGATGGAGAGGGTGTCATTATTAGGAGAGTTATGATAACGTCTTTGGTCTGTCAAACATCCCTATTTGTAAGTGATAAAGTCAGGGCTATATAATGGATCATTAAGATTAACTGGGCAGTACCCAGCCAGGACACAAGTACCCACTGATTAGACCGTCACTAGGAAACAAATACTTATAGGAATATTTGACATCAGACCAAAATTTCAAACGAATACTTTAATTACATTAGTATGATATATATTGGGCTTTAATTTTTATCAGCACTGTATTTTTAGTTAATACTAGCTAGGAGATGCCGAGTCCCAGAGAGCAAGATAGTGGGTTTGTTTTCCTGCCAAAATCAAAATCAAAAAGTATTTTACCTTTATAATCTTGTTATTTTAATCGTAGGTTTTTATTTTTGTAAAATAATTCAACTGATAGCAGTACCTGAGGTACAGGTACATCTGTCAAATAGTATCTATACATCTATAAATACACCATGTATTGAGTCTTTGGACAGACAAAATACAAACATTTTGTCAGAGGTAAACAACAACTAGTCACTATTCACAGTCACTAGGGTCGAAAGTTTTAATATAGGAGGAACCTAGAATGCATGGGGAAAGCACACATTGTCATGTAGGTGACCTTTTCACGTGATGTTACTACTATAGTATCTATACAATTATGATTAAATAAATATTCACAATTTTTTTTACTGACAATCACATGCAACATATATCATCATAAGTGAATCCCATTACAGGATATAACTACTGATTAAAGTGATTATATACCCCGACTCAACAGTCGTAGTAACTAAACGGTGTTGGTAACTGTACGGCAGCCATAACCGTGTCAGTGTATCACACAGAATGTATACGACTGTCGGACAGGATGTTTGTGGGACATGACACATACCCAAAATACAAGTTTTCCTATATTTACAAATCATGATTCACAGCCTAGGGTGGACCCATCTGACACAGATTAACCACGCATCAGTGAGGTGTAATTAATGGGTAGATTTTATGTTGTACAAGTGATGAATGAGTAAATCATGCGTTTACAGTTTACTTAAAAAAATACCCATGAAAGGAAGATACACGTTACATGCTATGTGTGTGTAAAGAGACATGGAGAGATTCCTCGGGGTATTCACCACTATTTGTGGAGAGATTCCTCGGGGTATTCACCACTATTTGTGGAGAGATTCCTCGGGGTATTCACCACTATTTGTGGAGGGATTCCTCGGGGTATTCACCACTATTTGTGGAGAGATTCCTTGGATTCACCACTATTTGTGGAGAGATTCCTCAGGTATTCACCACTATTTGTGGAGAGATTCCTCGGGGGGTTCACCACTATTTGTGGAGAGGTTCCTCGGGGTGTTCACCACTATTTGTGGAGAGATTCCTCGGGGGGTTCACCACTATTTGTGGAGAGATTCCTCGGGGTGTTCACCAATATTTGTGGAGATTCCTCGGGGTATTCACCACTATTTGTGGAGGGATTCCTGGGGCTATTCACCACTCTTTGTGGAGAGATTCCTCGGGGTATTCACCACTATTTGTGGAGAGATTCCTTGGGGTATTCAACACTATTTGTGGAGAGATTCCTTGGGGTATTCAACACTATTTGTGGAGAGATTCCTTGGGGTATTCAACACTATTTGTGGAGAGATTCCTTTGGGGGATTCACCACTATTTGTGGAGGGATTCCTCGGGGTATTAACCACTATTTGTGGAGAGATTCCTCGGGGTATTCACAACTATTTGTGGAGAGATTCTTCTGGGTATTCACCACTATTTGTGGAGAGATTCCTCTGGGTGTTCACCACTATTTGTGGAGATTCCTCGGGGTATTCACCACTATTTGTGGAGAGATTCCTGGGGGAATTCACCACTATTTGTGGAGAGATTCCTCGGGGAATTCACCACTATTTGAGGAGGGATTCCTCGGGGTATTCACCACTATTTGTCGAGAGATTCCTCAGGTATTCACCACTATTTGTGGAGAGATTCCTCGGAGTATTCACCACTATTTGTGGAGAGATTCCTCGGGGTGTTCACCAATATTTGTGGAGATTCCTCGGGGTATTCACCACTATTTGTGGGGGGATTCCTCGGGGTATTCACCACTATTTGTGGAGGGATTCCTCGGGGTATTAACCACTATTTGTGGAGAGATTCCTCGGGGTATTCACAACTATTTGTGGAGAGATTCTTCTGGGTATTCACCACTATTTGTGGAGAGATTCCTCGGAGTATTCACCACTATTTGTGGAGAGATTCCTCGGAGTATTCACCACTATTTGTGGAGAGATTCCTGGGGGTATTCACCACTATTTGTGGAGAGATTCCTCGGGGTATTCAACACTATTTGTGGAGAGATTC